TTACAGATCTCAAATAAATCCACTCAAAATAAGATAAAACTTGAACCATGCATCAAATGGGGTAAATTAAGAACAATGACAGATGCATTTGCAATCAATGCAAACATTGAAACAATAGATTCCTCACAAGTCTGAAAAAATGTGGACAGACCTTTCATCCAGATCCAAATTGACACTAGGCTTGACAAGGGGAGGCAACAAATCATACAAAGAACTATGGTGGTGGAATGAAGAGGTACAAACCACTATACAGGAGCCAAAAACCCAGATGACAAGACAAATTACAAAAAATCCAAGAAAATAGCTACAAAGGCGGTGGCTAAGACCAAAGCTATGGCATACGATAACATGTATGAAGAACTACATACCAAAGAAGGGAAAATAAAATATACAGATTAGCCAAACAGCGAGAAAAGAATTCTAGATTCTAATAGAAAGCCTTAAAGCACTAGGAGATGATGGAATACATACAATAAAATACTGGGAAATGAGAATGGAGGCAGAGCTATCTAGTTCCAATCTTCAAAAATAAAGGGGATCCACACAATTGTCATAATTACAGGGGCATAAAACTAATGTCACACTGTCTTAAACTCTACGAAAAAATAATAGAAAAAAGGTTAAGAGACATTTTCGAAATAGGAGAGACTCAGTTTGGCTTTATGCCTGGAAGATCAACAATTAGGCAAATGAGCGAAAAATACAGGGAAAAGAACAAAAAGTTTCACATGGTCTTTCTCAATCTAGAAAAGGCCTTCGATAGAATCCCAAGAAAACTTATCTGGTGGGCGCTACGCTACAAAAAAATTCCCGAAAAATATATAAGAGTAATACAGGATATGTATATGGGCCATACAACAATGGTCCGTAGCACAACTGGTACTTCAACAGGCTTCACAATAGCCAAGGGAGTTCATTAAGGGTCGGCTCTCAGCTCACTTCTCTTCATAACAGTAATAGATGTATTAGCACAGTCTATACCACAAACAATCCCGTGGAATATGATATTTGCAGATCATATTTTGATACTTGTCGAACAAGGATGAAATGAAAGAAAGATTAGTGAGCTGGATAAATATCCTAGAAAAGCACGGACTAAAAGTAAATAGAAAAAAGACGGAGTATATGGTGATAGGAGGAGATGAAACAGAGAGCATTGATATAAATGAATGGCAGATATCGGCAATTGAAAGCTGCAAATATTTGGGCCCCACTATACAAACAAACGTAAAATTAGTCAAGGGTGGTTAAAGTGGAGATCTTTATTTGGAGTGCTCTTTGACAAAAGAATCCCACACAAATTGAAAAGAAAAATTCAACTATTCTATATAGTTCGGAAACATGGCAAACCAAAGAATCAGACGAGAGAAGCCTACAAACTATGGAGATGAGAATGGCGAGAATGATTGCTGGGGTAACAAGAAAAGATAAGGTGCGAAGTGCCCATTAAGACTAAGATAATGGTAAACAGACTAGGTGGTATGGGCATACAATGAGAAGGCCTATGAACTACATAGGAAATAAGGTTGAGAGTTTGGAAGTAAGGGGCAAACGTAAAAGAGGAAGGCCAAAACTTCAATGGGGCCATGAAGTTAGAGCCAATATGAAGAAGTATAAATTAGATAAAAGAGATAGTATGAATAACATAAAGTGGAGAGATATATTGAAAGAGCTTACCAGCAGAAAAGGTGAAAGCTAAAGATAAAAGAGAAAAAAAGAAAGAAAAAAAGAAGAAAAAAATAAAAAAATAAAGTACGTAATGTGGGATTCGGAATCCCAAAGTGGGGATTCGAAAATATTTTAAAAAAAAATATTCAAAAAATATTCCCGAATCCCCATGAAAAAAAAATTCCGAATCCTTATGAAAAAAAATAAAATAATATAATTACTTTTTCTTCCCTTTTTTGCTGCTGGCACCATATAATTAAAAGGTCAAAAAAAATTTTAAAAAAAATATTTAAGGGGATTCGGAATCTTTTTTTTAGAAACAATTAAATTATATTTTTTTGCCGCCTGCCTGGCTGGCACCAGAAAATTTATTTTTTAGAGGTATTTAATTTGTATTACTTTTATGCTTTAAATCATTAAATACTCGAAAAAATGGTTTTTAATATAAATTAAATGTTAAAAAATAAATATTATTTTTAAATTAATAATTTTTAGAGGAAGAGAAAGCGAAAAAATTTATAAATCATCATTATTTAATTGTTTAGATAAAATGGTTAAATTATTAAGAAATGAATCTTTCATGGTAATAAGAAGTCTTGGCAGTATATGAGGTAGTAAGAATTTATCATCTCTTATATTATGCCATGTGCAATTATTAAGTAAGCATTTGTATTTTTTTTGGTTAATATTTTTAGGCATATTTTGAAATTGGAAAAATACTTTTATGACAAGAAATCAACCTAATTTGTTAAACATCAACCAAAATTTATTAAAATGTAATAAGACCCCCCATTTATTATTTTATTTAATATGTATATGGAATCACGAGGTCGAGTCCGATATCATAAACCAGAAAGAAATCACTTGGTTATGGATGGGCATAGTAAAACATTAAAAGAATTAAATAAATTTAAAAAATTACCCCCATTCAAATTTTTAGAAGCAGTTGCTTCGGACCCCCACCGTTATTATATTTATTAACAGGGAAGACCAGGGCCAGCCAGCTCAAGGTGCTTGCGGATTTTATTTTAAAAGCTGTAACGATTACAAATCAAAATTTTGATCTAAAATGGAATTCTATAATCCATATTTGGGGACGAAAATAATTTATAACATTTAGCTAATTTAAATTTTTATTTGTTATGATATGTTTTTGACGTGAAAATTACAATATTTTCACTTGCCATTATTAGGTTGTATTAAAAAATTAAAGGTTTAAACATGACAAAATGGACAGTATATAAAAGTTAAAAATCTATTTTAATATTTGGGAAAGTTTCAGATTGATATGCAATGCCTATATATATGTTAAAATCTTATTAGTAATATTTCACTATTGGGGTTAGTAGAATCATGGCTTGTCGGCCCAATCAATCAATTTTTATAATATTATTATAGTATGCAAATATATACCCAGATTCCCAATAGAAAAAATTTTGTATGAAAAGGATATGTCATCTAGAAAGGTTTCATTAATTACAGGAAATAAATATTTATAAATTTAATATATAAAATGATAATTATTATGGAAATTTATTATGTAATTTTTCATAATACATTATTTTAATATAATATCAGACTAAATAAATATCTTGCAAACTAAAATCTTCATTAATACATATTATATTATATATATTATAATATATATTTGTGATAATTAAGTATATATTGAGATATATATAATTGACATTTTGATTAAATTATAATTATATTGAAAATTTGATATGAACATTTTATTTACCATATATAAATATTAGCCTGATAATGAGATATATTATTTAAAATGAATTATATCTATCTAGCAAACAAATATTTCTTTTCGTTTATATCTAATGTAATCGACAATATTATATGATACAAATTATTACATTTTATTAGATATGAACATTTTAGTAGGATATTTTGGACTGATAAAAAGATTGTATGATATTATATATTTAAATAAAGAATTAGATAAATTTTGAGTGAATTTATTATTTATTATTACAAATTTTTTAAGACATTATAAAAAAATATATAATAGCTGGCACTATGCCCATGATAAGTCAAGAAAAGTATTTGATGATAAGGAGGAAAATAATATATAATAGCTGGCACTATGCCCATGATAAGTCAAGAAAAGTATTTGATGATAAGGAGGAAAATAAAATGGTCATGTATTGAGATTTTTTATGGTTTATCTGTTAAACAGGTGTCGCTGGGGTGGCCCAGTGGTGTATGATATATGCTTGGAAACCGAAGGTTACAGGTTCAATTTTCGGGTTTTTCTTCGATGACGGATGTGTATAGACATATGATATGAACAATTTCTGAGTGAGAAATACCCCGGTCACCTAAGGCTTGGACAGCCGGGTGCTAGGAAACTTGTCCAATAAACCAAATAAGACTGCCAGCTGATCTCGTGGGTCATTAAAGGATGATAACGATTTCTTGGCCAGCGCTAGGATAATGATGATCTCGGGGCAGTTCAAGCTCAATGTCTCCCAAGCTACAATGGACTTGATAACAATACTCCGGTGGGAGATCCATCGGGATTGATACTCCGGTGGGAGATCCATTGGGATTGATACTCCGGTGGGATATCTGTCGATTTGATACTTCGGTGTGAGGAATACTCCGGTGGGATATCTGTCGATATTGATACTTCAGTGTGAGTTCAAGATACTTTGCCTTAATAGCGATACTCCGGTGGGAGATCCAAATGAAAGAGATCAGAAAAATAGATAGCATGAGTAAAGGTGGAGAGATATATTGAAGGAGCATATCACCAGAAAAGGTGAAAGCTAAAAATAAAAAAAATTTGTTAAAAAGGTATTAAAAGATTGCTATTTTATTTGATAGAATATTATTTTGTCTCATATGAAGCCTAATAAACCACTTGATTCTGCTAGCCTCATATATGCTCCGACTAATCAGTTAGGGGCTACTAGGTTCAAAATGACTTTTACTAAAACATTTTTGGAAAAGAATTTATTAAATATTTAGAAAATACAATAGTGTATAATTATAGGCAAGTGTTTAAGGTATAATTGGTGTTTTGCAAATTATTATACGATCATTATTTTTGGAAATATAATTATTTTGAGAAAAATTGCGCCGACTAGCCCTGGTCTCACTTGTTATGATAAACATTAAATTAACTTATATATATTTTGTCTAATTTTTTCACAAGAACTCCTCTAGAATTAAATGCTTTTGTGAACCGTGTAAAATGCAATATTGTGTGACAGATAATTTAGTTAGTTCATTTTATAAAGAATGATATAAATTTTAACTAGTGTTTTACAAGCTTATTTGGCTCCCGAGTTCAAAGAGGATGTCTTAAATCTGGTATGGTCGAAGGTTGTTCATATTCCTTCAAAGAGGTAAAGACTGTATGCTGTGACTCTAACTTTTGCAATCAAATTGATTCCATTTTAACTGATATAACATCTATAGACAATTTTACGATTATTAGTAATTTTAATTATTTCCTTCCCGCATATTCTTTCAATATTAAATTTAATTTATTCACAATTATAGCCGATCCTTCAATGGCAACATTTGAAAATCATTCCACCATAAATGACAAATTTTCAAAAACATTTTCAATATATCCCCACATTATTTATATATTAATTTTGGTCATCCCTTTGATTATTTTTTTGACCTATTGGGCTATATACAAATGCATAGAAAAAGTTAATAGCTTAGTTAATATGAATCAACTTCCCAAATGTAAACTGTTTCGGCAGTCTAAAAAAACAAAATTAGACATTGAGAGCCATGAACATGAGGTGTAAAATTTTATAAAAGACTATATTTGAAACTAATTTTAATAGGAAAATTTTCCCTCTAACTATTCATACTACTATCAACAAAAGACATTGGTAAACGAGTTAACGTTTGAAAGTTTGATTGGTATAATTTATCATGTTTAAATCAATAATTTTTAATTAAAACAGAAAAAAATCCACAAACAGAGCTTTGGAAAGGAAAATATCAAAATGACAACGTCGCCATAAAATGCTATATGCCAGGCGCCTCATCCTCCTGGGAGAGAGAACTTAAAATATATAAGTCAGCTTCGTCAAGAAATAACAATATATTGAGATATATAGGCGCGGATATTAGTCGATACTACTATTGTATAGTATTCGATTACTATGATAATCAATCTTTATATGATTTTTTAAGATGTCCAAAAAATAGTATGTTCGGTTTGAGCTTAAATCAAATTTACATGATAGCTTATACTGCAAGTAAGGGCTTGTCCTACCTACACTCTAATATCTTTGGTGCTGATCCAAAACCAACAATATGCCATAGAGATATTAAAAGCAAAAATATTTTAATAAAAAGTATTTGCGGTAACCTTAATGCAACTATAAATTTAACACCAATACCTCGTAATAAGTACCAGAGTGACCATTGTATTAACTATACTAAGGATTCAAATTTAAATAAATCCAATAATAATGATAAGACATATTGTTCTATTAACTGTTGTATTTCCGATTTAGGCTTAGCTATCACAGATGATGAAGATTATTCCAGCATTAAATTAAAAGTTGGAACTCACAGATATATGTCACCTGAAATTTTAAGTGAAACTCTGGATAGATTAAACTTTGAATCCTTCAAAATGTCCGATGTCTATTCTTTTGCTTTAGTTTTATGGGAAATAATATCTTGTTATAATCCTTTTTACCCTAATCCACCATTTAAATTAAGTAATTTCTAAAGCAATAATAAATAACTATTTTTTGTATTTACAACTAAAATTATTTATTTTTTAAGATTGCTTTCATGAGTTGCCGTATCATGAATTCGTTTCCCAAAACCCTTCGTTGGACGATATGAAAACAATAGTGGTTGATAAAAATCTTAGACCATCATTACAATTTAATTGGTATAAGAGTGAAGTAAAAAATTAATACTCTGATTTATATAAAGAGCAAAAAATTTAAAGATGATTGCCTCCATTCTATTACACTTATATAACTTAAAATTGATTTTTAAACCAATTATTTAATTCTTAAATAGACAACTTTAAAGTGATCATTTTTGAAGATTTTGCTTAGGGTTACCTTCATGTAATAATATATCACTAATTAGCATCTAATATTGCTTAAACCCTTTCTTCATATGAACTTAATGATCATTTTCATTGATTTAAACTCGCGGTTAACAGTAATTTTATTTTATATTTAATTTTACGATTTCCTATTATTTATTATTAAATATTTTAAAAAATTAGTATTATATTGAAGAATGTAATTTCTATTTTTAAGTTCCAAATTCTTAAACTATTATTTATTATAGTTTCATCTTTAAAGCCCCATCTAATATAATTTATTTCTTATAATATTACTAAATACTAATATTAATATTTACATTTTATTTATAGAAAATATTACCGTTTTTAGAAATTATTAAAGAATCTTGGAGTTCAAACCCTAAATCAAGATTATCTGCTATTCGGATAAAATTAACTCTGCAAAAATCGTGTTCTGGAATGTCCATTATTTAATATGATAGAATGACTCATTTTCATTTTTTATCGATTTCGATATTTATTGACTTTTATTGTCATGATTTAATTTTATTCTTTGGGATAACAATTTTTTGCGTTGTTTAATAAATTTAAAAATATGATATAAAATCAAAAACCTAAACTCCACAAACTTTAGCGAACTATTATATTTTGTCATTTTTTGGAACAATATCTTAATGATAAAAAAATTGTAAAAATAATATCCTTTTCATATATCGCGGATAATCAATCATTACGTGTGTATACATTTTTTCTTATATTTATATTGATTTTACATAATATAATATTCATACTTTTAATGCAACCTTAAAAAATTATATAATTATATAAAAAAAAATCCCAGTTAAAATTTTATTTAAATTAAAAGAAATTGATTAATCTAGGACTAACCTGACTCCCTTTTTTTGTTTTTTAATTTCTTTTTCGAAAAATAATCATATTTTTTAAATTTATTTGTAAAATATACTTTATATAAATAAATATTGAATATCAATCATTATTTAATTTTTTACAAATGTAGGGCCATATTATGATTTTTGTTGGACCAAGGGTAATTATTTCAGAAGATCTTAAACCACCCCCCCCCCTCCCCACTTTATCTAAGCTTTAAAAAATTCCTGAAATAAAACTAGGATCATCATTTTAAAAATAAGATTTGTGAATAAACAGCTTAAAATATGATATATTAAGGTAAAATATAAGTAAATTGTAAGAAATGACTGAAAGTATAATTTATTTATTATACTTTTTTTAATTACAATTCACTTTTAAATGCATAAGAAACAAAATTTGGCTCTCCTTATTAGAGGTCTGCATTGGGCGGGGTTTCGGCCCGCCCGCCCATCTAAGTGGGCAGGCGGATGGGCGGGGAAAAATTTTTTCGAGAATGGGCATGCGGGCGGGCGGGTTAAAAAATTTGGAAATAATTTTAAAAAATAATTTGGAGTAAAAATAAAAAAATATGTTGATCTTTAAATAATTTTAGATTTTTAGCATCCTGGAGCTTAGGCAAATTGAAATGTTTAATGGTATCTGGTGGTTTATTATTCGGCATGCTGTTCATCATGTAGCATTTCGTACCTATCTTTAATTATATTTATAAATCTTTCAGGGACTTGTTTTCCTTGAAAATTTTATCGAAGGCTTTTTCTAGATCAAAAAAGCATTTATAAAATTATTTTTATTATGTTCGCTTTCTCGAGGATAGAATCAATAGTCGACTTATTAAAATCCTAAATTAATTATGATCATTTTTAACAATTTTTCTTAGTTATGAAATTTTCTTTCATACTTTTAATGAGTGGCCCATCTAATTCGCCTATAAATTTTACATATTTGAATATCTCTAAATAATATAGGAATAATCTTTTTGTCATTCGTCTCGTCTTTTACGGTACTAATATTTTGTTAGGACGAATATATCTTCTTGTCCATGAATTTAATTTCCTCAATATATTGTCACCCACCCTAGTTTTATAATTCTTCATTTTTTTGAAAGCAGGAATCACTCCCTGTCTTTAATGCCTTTAAATATTTAGAGAACATGATTCAAACTTCAGTTCCTTTGTAATTTCCTGATCTTTATTTAGTAATTCATTATAGTCATTTTGCATGAACTATCTATACAATCCTACGAACTCAGCCAACATTGAAAAATTTACAAAATGCATTAATCTCAAAACGATTCATATATGTATACTTAGTATAAGAAGTGCATATAAATAAAAATTACATTATAAAAAATGGGGTAAAATATGAATGATCTTTAAATAATAATGGGGGGGGGGGGTATATTTATGGCATGAAGCCAAAGATGGAGATAAAATTGGATCCGCATATCTTGAGATATTCTTTGTCTAAGGTATAAATTATTTGGTTACATGTCAATACCGCGAAAATTTTAGCGCCAAATGTATTATAGCGAATGCATTACCTAAAATGTCGATTACCGCGAAATAATATTATAGCGAATATATTACCACGAATGCATAATCGCGAATATAATATCGTGAATGCATTACCGTGAATGCATTATAGCGAATATAATACAGCGAAAATATTATAGCGAATGTATTAGCGCTGTAATACCGTGAAAGTGTTATAGAATGTATTATAGCGAATACATTACAGCAAATGAATTATCGCGAATACATTATCGTGAAAATATCAATGCGAATATATTATAGCGAATGCATTATGGCAAATGTATTTGCGCGAATGCATTATAGTGAATGTATTACGCAAATGTATGATTGCGAATGCATTGTCGGGAATGGATAATAGCAAATGCATTGTCGCGAATGCATTATCTGAAATGAATTACATCAGTTGAATATCGGGAATGGAGTTTAATGAAAGTTACAACTTTATTTTATCAGTCTTTAGACAGACTTATTAGAACCTGCAAATTTAGTTAAAGTTGTACTTGGATCTAAAACATTTTTTTTAAAATAGGGCTAAGGTATTTGATTTTTTTGATTCACAATATATAAAAAAGATTCTAAGCAAGATTAGGGTAAAGGAATTAAATTTTTATATTAATTGATTGTAAAATAGGCATTTAGTTATATTTTTCAATTAAATTTGGGACAGGACTGGCTGAGGCCTAAAATTTAAAATAATGGCTAGGGTCGGGCCTATAAATAAATAAAGATTTTGGATGGAGTTTTAGCTGAAATAAATTAAATTTGCAAGGTGCTAAGAAAAGTCTTATTTAAATCATTGAGCCAAATAGATAATTAGTCCTCGGAAATCATTTATATTATTTTTTGACAAAATATGTTTTAATTAGTGAGGGATTTAGTATTGACTTGATAAGCATTTTTTGATAATAAATTTGTATGAAGTTTTCTTATTGCTTAATCAAAAAGACAAACAAGACATGAAAATCAACATCATAGGTAGATTGTAGAATTGAATGGCTACACATCTCAGAACTTAATTCATGTAATCTTGATGATGAACTTGCGACTATAATAGTTCAGGAATTGGGAGAAACAATATAAAAATGATTTCTTTAGTTAATTCTTGTTAGGTCTTTATTCCTGACGGCTATGCGATTAAAGACAAAATGTATAAAAATAGATATAGAAACATATTAAATATAAGTGTAGCTAAAATTGAATGAATAGAACATGCCTCATATATTAATAAAAATAACAGCTATTTTTAAAACAAATTATAGTATATTTCCATTTCAGTTCAGTGCTATATTTTAATAATCTGGCGAATGTCAAAAATTTTATTAGTGGTGATAATAGTGATTGTGCATTGCTATCATCGGTTTTACTTTGTGAGTGCAATTTTTATTCTCGCAAAACAAGTTGTTTACTTCAAGGAGTAGATGTACAACCCTAAAAACCTGAAAGGCGGAAAATATCTCTTTTTTGCATTTTCCATGCCTTCATATTTTTTTAAATGTGCATTCTTCCAGACTAAAAAAGGTTTTATAGAAAGATTTAAAACAAAAGTTTTAAAAGCAAGAATAGACTGATATAAAAATGAATTAAACAAGCGGAAGCGAACTTATTATTTATGATTCCTCTTTCTACAATAGAAAGCAAGGCCATATAAAAAATATAATAGCAAAATAAGATATCTTTCTCAGGAAGCGTAGGCCATGAAAATCCTTATGTTATATTTAATCATAAAATTTTTTTTATTAAGAAGCACACTCACCCCCCCCCTTTTCCTCCCCAAGCAAAGCTTAAATAAATAACTAGCCCTAATAATATGAAGAAATTAAAATATTAATGATAATTATACTTGCTTATAACCAGATTTATAGACCGACTTTTGGAATTAGCGAAATCTTGAGGCTTAGGCATATTTTTCGGGTTAAAATATTGAATTATTTTGACAAAAACGCTGACTAGCCCCAACCCCTACTATTGGAAGAAAGTTGTTAATGAGATCAAAAATTTAGATTATTTACCGGGTGGCTAAAAACGTCGCGTTTTGAAATCTTTATTACTCTGAAATACGTCATTCGTTTTGTTTATGAAATTTCCTATTTTATTGTGTCTTAATATACTCAAAATATTTAAATTTTATAAAGTCGGTTTTTAGAAAATAAATATAAAAAATTTAGTCGGACACTCATCTTTTTAAAAATTTCTCCTAAATCATAAACTATATAACACAATATCTTTCGGATTATCAAACAGATCTCATTATTAAATGCCACTACAATATAAACATACGATAATTTTGCGAAATTAAGTATATTTTATCAAGAGAAGATCTGATAATGATAAAATTATGCCATAAGAAGAAAAATTTGAATGAAGTTTAATTCCTGAATTCTCTAGGAAAAAGTGGAATATTTGTCCAGTTCAAAAAACTTTAACGAGACCTCAAAATACGGTTTCCATAGCGAAAAATTATCTATAGGCTACAACCTTTTGAATCTTACAAATTTGAAAGAGAAATTGGTAAAATATGGGTCTTAATTTCGCAAGAAATAATCAAATTGGCTTTTATTGTTAGGTCATACAAGAAAAAAAAGGATTGATTAATTACATTAATTATTTTAATAATTTTATAGATCTCAGGCTGTATATCAATATAATGGCAACACGTCTAGCCCATTTTTAAATAAATATAATAAATGAGGGTCTTAAGTTATTTTTTGTCAAATATTAGCATTTAAAATTTTCTAAAAAACTACTTAATCTAATTATTAAAAAGAGAATACTAAATTCCTTATATTTTTTAATTAAATATATATTTTCATAAATAGCAAGTGACGTGTTTTAGAATTATAAAAATTTTAAAACGCTACTTTAAATATATATAGAAACGTTAATTATGCTGATTTTCTGAAAAAGGTCTGAACTTGCTAAAGAGTTACAATATAATTAGAGAGTCTAAAGAATTTTCTTAAAGAAAAAGAGATCCGGTGGAAAAATATTATCGACCAGGTAACAAATTTATGGTTTCAAATATATTTAAAAAATAAAACATATTAATGGTGAACTCCTTTTATAAAGCAAGTGGATAAGTAGCAAAGAATTTTAATATTTAACGCATTCGCTATATTGCATTCGCGATAATAATTTCGCGGTAATGCATTCGCTATAATAATTTCGCGGTAATGTATTCGCTTTAATGCATTCGCGGTAATGGCCACGCATTAATATATTCGCTATGATGCATTCGCGATAATACATTTGGAGCTAAAATTTTCGCGGTATTGACGTGATACGCATATCCACACGATCGCATATTTATTATTAAATATAAAAAAATATTAAAAAAACAAATAAAAAAATTATATAAAAAATTCCCCGATTGATGACCTAAGAAAGCTAATAGTTTAGGAAGCCCCATTGGGTGGTTTGACAAATCCCATTATTGGAACTTGTACAAAAAAAAATCAATAATGATTAATTTACAAACACCTTTATGGTGTAGAGTTATCGGTTCACATATTGCTCTATCCAAATTCTAAAAAAATACAGGAGTTATTTTGTAAAAATCGATTCGACAAGCCTCGCTCCCTTACTATATATTTTATCGTCATTACTGATTCCCGAGTCGATTTAGTTACTACATGTAATATTTCTTAACAGTATTTTGAGGTATTAGTTTATATCTTCCATTTGAGTTATTCTTAAATAAAATTATGAATTTAAATAATCATTAATTCTTATAAAATTTTAATTGTTCAAAATAATTAACAGTATATTTTTAAAATCAATAATTTTTCAGACTACATAATAGAAATTGACAATTATAATTTAGGCATTAGTTTCAATAAATTTATAAAATTTTAAATATTAAAAAGAACATTCCAAGATTTTTACGAAGAAAAAAGAATTAATTATTGTTCTTCCCCAAAGCTGATTTACGGGTACTGACCTGTTATCATTGCATTCTAATTTTATTACTGTGTATTATATAAAGCTCATATATATATATTAAAATAATCTTTAAAAAAGAATTAAATTCATATTTATTAAACTAACATTGCAAAAAATTAAAATATATTATATTGGTAAAATTAAAATATTGCCCTGATACCGCAATAAAACGAATTAATAAATCATCTTGACGGAGAAATGAAATAAAACATTATATAATGTGAGGAATGTGATTTGACGGAGATTTAATTGAACAGGTATTTAGGCGACTACTATCCAATGTTATATTTAAAGTTGTAGACTTGGTTTGTAATGATTCGCTAGGAGAGGAAGAAAAATCGAGTTTAGACGTACGGAATAAATAAGTGCCTTTGATATTTGTAGCGGCATAAGGTAGTTGCTCATATTTTGTTTTAAGTACTTTATTCGTAATATTGGAGTGAATTGGCGAGTGAACATTTTCGCTGGAAGATTTGGAAATTAGTAAGGGGAGATTACAATTACCAGAATTTCCATTTGAGTTGTTTAAATAAAAAGTATCGTCTGCTTGCATAGAAAGAGAGAGATTATGTTGACCACAATTTATAAGATTTTTAATAGGCTTTACATCCGTCATGGTGTCTGATATCTTTGGTAATTTATGCAAACCATTCATTGAAAATTTTATACTGCTGAAAAATTGATTCCAAGTTGCAAGAGTCTTTCTTGAAAATATCCATATTCCCGCAGTAAAGGTTCCTACTGCTAACGACATAAAGTATTTTACAGAAAATACCCAAAATAGTGGATAAAGCTTATCGATATTGATTTTGTGTAAATTAACCGTTTTATTTTGACTAAATTTTGAATGAGATTCATATAAAAGGTTCATTTTATATGTTAGATTTATATTAGGCAATAATTTTGATGGAATTTCGATACCTCTACACCCGGTTGGGCAGGATGTATGAGATCTATCCCAAGCTTCTTTATTCATATTTTCATATATGTAACAGATAAGAACTGTTATGGTGGGGATTATATAACTTATAGAATATATGCCGATTCTCCATATTAATATATTAAATTTATTTGTTTCTTTCCATTCCGAATAACTGTATTTAATTTTTAGCATGGAGCTAAAGCCAATTGCGATAAATAGGCTTCCGATAACCAAATAAAAGGCTAACGGATAAATGATAAATAATTTTAAGTTGTTTGAATTTGTGTGGCCTATAAAACATATACCGTATAAGGGGTCACCGTCAATTGATTTGGTCAGAAACGAAACGAAAATTTGAAAAGCAGGGAGTATCCATGCTATGCATTGGAAATAAAAGGATATATTCGATAATGCCTTATCCCCCCACTCAAAACGAGCTGATAGTAGCCAGGTTAACGCTAAGATTATCCACCAAATGTAATTGGCCATACTAAAATAGTATATAAGAAAAAATTCGATGTAACATATTATATAATTATGGTCATTAGAATTTAATAGATTTTTGATTGAATGCTTAGAATGAGAATCGAATCCATTAATTGTAGATAATTGCACTATGGGTGAAGATGGAGATCTTAATATATTTTGAAAACAGGCTACATTATTTTCGCCGCATATGAATCTCAACAGGTATCCAAATGAAATGAACAAATAACATAATGAAATGTAAATTATTGGCCTCTGTGGATAAACGAATCGTGATTTATCCAAGAAAAATGTCAAAAGGGTAAAAGTGCAAGCTGTGAAGCAAACAAAACTCCATATTCCTATCCAAAAGTAAGCAGTGGTTCTCTCTTGATCATTAAAATATATACTTCCTTTACAACTATGGTAACATCTATTGACACCACCTATTTCACCATCATGAATTATATATGTGGCGTTGTAATTTACGTTGATTAAATTTGAGACATCTGAATCGCTATTTAGTGAAATTAATGGGTGCGGGCATCTACAATTATGGCAATCTTCGTTATCAATATTATCCAAAAAATTAGACTTTTGGTGTTTATAATCAAAGTTTAATAATTTATTTCGATCAACATTACCATAATAGTCATCCAAATTTATCTCCAAGTTAGGCTCGAATACCTTTTTATTCAGAGTAGTTTTATCCTTAAAAGATGATGTATGATCGGACAAAGTAATATCTTCTCCATAAGAGTGACCAGTAATAGGACTTTGCACATCCTCTTGATCCAATCTATTCAAATCTAAACAGAACTCTTCCCCTGTATTAAAATTGGGAAGTTTTTCGCAGTTCATTCTTTCGGGCCATTCGAAACCATACTTTCTCATCAAGGGAATGCAACCAGCTTTAGATCTTTCGCAAACGGAACGACAAACGGATATAGGTTTGTGATAATCTTCCATGCATATCGGTGCATACATGCTACATAAAAAAAATTTAAGATCCCTAGAACATTGAATTTCAACGAGAGGCCAAAATTGATGGACCTCCATTCCAGCTTCGTTCTGAGTCTCGTGATTAAATGGATTTGGAAAAAGTGTCATATTGTACCCTAAATTTTTACACATAGGAATTGTAAGAACTTGGCACTTTGGATTTATATCTACCATTTCATCAGCATTCTCTTGCACTTTTTTAGATTCTTTGTTTCTGACTGGTACAAAATTAATGCCGGAGAAACTATCATAGTTATTTATGATATTGCTGCTATCTTTTTTGATAAATCTGTTTGCGACGAATTGAACCTCTTCTGCAAAGTTAATACGAGGATTAAGAATATCATGATTTTCGTAACTTTTAAAACTAAGTAAAGCTATCGTTAAATATAATATATAAGCTGGTATGGAGGATATATTGAAGATAAATAAGATATGGGCTTTCATTGGTTTTAATGTAATTTTACGAATAATTTTTCGCGCATGTTTATTTGGAGTGATAACGAAAAACTAGGAATTATATAAAAGTTTAGAAATTTGATATAATGCAACATATATTTTAAATTTAGCGATAAAAAAAAGGTATATGCTGTGTACGTTAATAATCATATTTCACTATCTTTTTTAAGCAATTATTTTTATCATTGTATCATTTTATAATAATGAGTTCAAAATTGTATAAAAAAATAATGTAAAAAAAATAATTATTAGTGCCATGGAAATAATGAAAATTATTATTTATAAATTTTTTATTTTATCATTAATAATAGTCTTGCAAAAGATAGATTATATTCACTTTTTATTTTATATTATAATAGTGATTTTAGTTCTCATCATGCGAAGAAAGATGAGTGTAAAATTATATAATATTTTTATTATTAAACACTTAAGGTAAATCTTTATTAATATTATATATTTCCAAATTTTTTCAAAATATAATCTTCCTTCCTTATTGTATATATATAACTATTAAGTAAATAAATAAAATAATTCTTAGCAATTTTTAATTTTATAAAAACTTAAAAAATTTCTTGTATGCGTATTTTTTGGAAGTAAAATGGTGCGTGATTATATTCATTTTCACAATTTCTAGCTCCATAATCTTTTGACCATTAATTAATTAAAATTTTGGTCTTAAATAAGGCATAGAGCTGTTAAAGTTAAAGTCTTTAACAATTTTTATTTGGAGGTCATCTTAAATTACTAGATTTTGAATTAAATAGATAATCTTGTGACTCAAAATATTTTTAAATCCTTTTCCTGCTGCAAAGAAAATAAAAAAAATTTTCTCTTTCTTAAAATAATTAGATTCTTAAAAATAAATTGAATTTTTTGTTCCTTTTATTCATTATGTAATAAAAAATATTATATAATTTTATATTCAGAAAATAACCAAAAAAAATGATAATATGAGATCAGTTTTAAAAAAATATTGGTTATATCCAATTTAAAAAAATATAATTAGGTATCGGTCCGATCCTATATTTAATATCGGCACAGTTCCAGTTGTCACCAACTCAAATTAGGCAATTTTACTCATTAACATTATTAATAGTATAAGACTTATTATTTTTATTAAAAAAATTTTAAATTACATTGATAAGGGGCTAAAAGCTTCTTTTTTTAAAGCTCAAAATAATAAGCAGATTAATTGAGGTTAAGTGTCTATTAAATATTTTTTAAATTATTGTATATTTTTTTTCTAAACTACAAACCCTGCAATCTATAAATGTTATTCATGCACTATAATTATATAATAATAAAAAATAGACAGCAGAAGAGATAATGTTTTTATAACCATGACGTGAACATGATTCAATTTTATTATATAAAAATATTATATATATAATTGTTCAGTTTTATATATCATTGGTAATTTGATGAATATAATTAGTTTTTGCTTGTGCATTGTTGGTCCACGCAAACCTTTTTCTTTTGTTTAAAATAAAAGGGAAGATAGGAAAGTATTATTATATAAATAGTAAAACTAAACAAAATTTATCATTTTTTGTAATCAAAAATATTAGGGTGTTATAAATAATAGTTTAAAGTATTTTGCAAAATCTCATCACATTTTGATAATATTTTATCCACAGTGTATCAACCATTGATAAAATTGGCTTTGCCACAGAGCCTCAAAGACAGGAAAGGCACACGCATAAATAAAACAATTTAACTTTTTAGATACCAAACCAAAATTTGCAAAAATAAAATCAAAACGAACCCTTTCCATTTTTATTCAAATGACGATAGCATCTTCATAACTGCACATCCCCTCCAATTAAATGATGATCTGCTAGAAGACCATGGATACTTCTGTTTAATAATATTTTTTTTGTAAAATATCTTTTAACGAAATTGATCTTAGCCCTTATAATATTTTAACTTATGCGACAAAATTAAGATTTGGCTGATAATGTACTTTATTATTATTTACAATTGTTAACATTTGATAGGCAATAATAACAAGGAATATATGTGATTCTCTCTTTTTTTAAAATAAATATAACAACGATTTATCGCAAATGAATTTTCGGTTTCATATGAATATATAATATAAAGAAATTGAACAAATTTGATACATCATGAGTACAGAGTTGCCATGTTTACCATATTGACATGTAGATACCATAAAAAGTCGAAATCCAATGCACCTAATTCAGCTACCACAATTCTCCCATATTTTTTGAAAGTTCCAAGATATATCAAAATTCGATCATAAAAGATCCCAATAAATTTTTCTTCAAATCATAATTTTATATAAAAAATTAAATCATTCTTGGGGTCTTTGTCTTATTTATAGAGTAGCTTAAGACATCGGATCTTGATAATTAGTATTATAAAATATGGTTTGGTTTTATTTCTAATATCGCATGTGTTTGATTGATGCAAGCGAGATCTTGAAGTTGAAATTTTAGAATAAATTTTAGTATCCACAAAAAATTCTCATGTGATTAACTTGAGATTTGATCGATGTTAATAATCGCAACATGCCTAAGAGGCAATAAATTTTAAATTCTACTTGATATCCTGAGAAATAATCTTTTACCATCTCGTTTGAGAAAATATTTGTGTAATACCTCTAATTGATAGATGATTTATTAAAAAATGCAGTAAAGCATATTATAAGTTCTGATTGTGTATCCACGAATCTGACCAATGTGAGCTAGTTTCTTTCTTTGCAGGTTTTTTTGAATATTTCCCACTTTTATTAGCTATATTATTTCTTTTAAATATAAAATTGTTTGCTGAGAATGAGATATATTTAAAGTTTACAGAAAACTATATACTCCTATTTTTGTTTTTTTATTGTTAAAAATGATTTATCACACTTAATCCTAATTCTCTGTTTCTATAATGAGCCAAATAAAATTTACTTAAAAATTTATGCTAATATAATATAATCAAATTATATTTTATTTATTCTCGACGTTAAGGATTTTTTTTGAGCATTTCTGTTTTAATTCCAAGGGATTAAATAGGACAATCTTTAAATATGTGACTTTATAAATCGGGTGATAGCTTTGAGACACTTTATAATTTAGAAGTGATAACTTAAAAAAGTATAGATTTATGACATTTTGGAAAGAAACATGATAGATTTTATGGGAATAAAAGAAAATTATGGACGAGGTTTTACAATTAAAATTGAAAAAAAGCAAATTTTTTCCTAGAAAGGGGGAGGGTTATTTCCATAATCCACTTTTCATCTAGATATAGATATCAATAAATGTATGAAAATAGGTCATCTTACCATATTATATTTGTTATGAGAGGGGGGGGGGTAATCCCAACCCACCCTTCTACGCCACTTGTAACTAAATTCTAATATTTTTTTCGAAAATTTTAAATAATTAAATAAAACTAGTTACCTTGTCAAAATTCGTCATAAATTTTGCTCTAAATCATTATAATTACAGAAAAAATTAAACAACCTATTTTTGCTCGCCAACAGTGTTAAAGTAGTGCATTATAATCTAATAGTGGTTGGCGTTACTTTTTAAGTTTCATATTTAATATTAAAATTCCAATTAAAATACTGAATAAAACGTTTGAAATGTCTGATTCAGTATGGATGAAGATAATAGAATCCCAAGCAGAAATGTCATGGAGAAAAAGTATCCCAAAAATATTTTTGACAATATGTAATTAAATATTAAAATAGCTCCAACATTTGAAATTTTTAATTTAGACAAGATTATTTTCTTAAAGAGTTGGCCTATGTTGTTGAAAGGTTCTGCTTCCTATATTTTGTTCAAAAATTTAATTAAAAGTTACTAACAGTTTGTTACTTTTATAAAAAAAATGTTTTAAAAATAGAAAATAAAGTTATTATTTAATCTTTGTATTTTGATAAGGATTAAAGGGGTATATAACATTTAAAATGAATATTAGATTATTCGTTCGGTACGTTTATATCAGTCTGAATCCAGGACTTAAATAATAAAATGAAATTTTTTTATATATTGATTTTAGAATTGTAACTAATTAAAAATTTTCAAAAACCTATTGATCCCAAATCACTGGTTAACAAGGGCTTGTTTTAAAAATGGTTGAGACCTTAGCCCCAAAACTATCTTTCAAATAATTAAACGCTACCATAAAAATTATTATTAATTCTAAAAAAAGATTCGTTTTATAAATATTATAATTTTAAATATATTTAATTCATTTACATTATCGAAAATATAGCGAACAAATTTTCGTCAATTTTTTGTTCAATTATAGACATAGGAAACACAGGAATCTTAAAATAGAAACTAATTTTATTTGATATTGAAGAAAATTCCAACCCCGGAAATGATATTACATATTCTCATATTGCATTAGTTAGTCGTTAAAGTTTGTTCTTTGATATTATTTTTATTTATAGTGTTAAAAGAAAAGTTATAATCATGGATAAATAAATTTATTTGGGTGGTATATAATTTGTAATTTTGAATTCTAACGATTTTAATTTTGTTATTTTATTACTTTTTATAAAATTTACTTTTACCATTTTAAATTAGTTATAACATTCACTAAAAACGGGTAGACATCATGTATGGGATCTATATTGGTTAAAATACATGATGCACGCTTCAACTCTTGGTGGGTGAGAATGAGTAATGAAATATTATTGAGATAATTTTAATAAATTAATTTTTTTATGATTATTCTTCCGTTAAATAAACCCGCTGAAATTTTTCATAAAGACTATTCCTTACAATGATTATAAAACTACGAATAATATGTAAATTATATAATGCTGAAAAATGCCCAGTTATTTTGAAATATTACAAAGAAAATGACTATTCATTGGAAAATAATCCTATGCATATCCAGGGTTGCCAGGTCAAAATCTTCAAGTTGCAGGAGAAATTTGGTATAATTTTTATTTTGGGGAGAACTGTGAAAATTTTTTTTGGATTTGTGAAATGGTTTAGTTAACCCACCCCCCCCCCCTTAACACATTAAATTTGTCTAGATAGATATTAACAAAGTGAGAAACGTTTTGTAATATTTCTTAAAATAGAGAGAATACATGCTCGCATATTTTTTCCAAGCGTAGGGATTTTTCGTTATTACAAAAAATTACCAATTTCTCCAATGCTTTAGAACATTTATCTGGTGTATTCTGGAGAATAAAAAAATAGAGTGCATAACAATCTCCTCAAGCAAGATATCAATATAACTGTATTTTTAATATATATTTATCAAATTACAAAATCCATCGTTTTTTGTTTCAAGGTCATCATAACATTTACATTTGTAGAATTATTGAAATCAAATTTTGATTGTTAATTGTTAATACTCTGAAATTGTTTTAGTAAAAATATCTGCTTCATTTAAAGCCATTAATTATGGCTA